CGGCAAAAAAATGAAGTGTATGTTAAATCAACGTCCAAAGATTTTGACAGGAAAAAGTGATTCTTTTGAAGGGTCCACAAAATGCCTAAAAGTAAACACTTGCCATGTTTGCAACAAGCTTTTTGTCTTCAATAAGACGAACGCAATGCACTCCCTCGCCACACAAATTGCCTTGCAATCAACTTTCGAAGATGAAAATGAAAGTGTAACTGAATAAAGGGACCACAACGTAACACAAAATAGACACACCAAAGCAAATGTGTAATGCTGATCCAAGGCCATTGACTGCGGGCGAACGACTTTAGCTTCAGCGTCCATCTCAATCTCATTAAAATTTAATAGGGTTCTCCTCTCTTTGACAGAGACAAATAAGCCTTGAAAGGTTGTTAGCTGGTTAGCAGGAGAAAAGTGTGCACCCATTTGACCTAAGCCATCATGGCCATCGTTTTAAAAACCAATGAGTTCTTGCACTGACACCCAAGTACTCCACGCGGGCAAATGGCCCATCATGCATCCTTCATCTCTCGTCAATGTTTGGCTAGGGTACCAAATAAATAAATAAACAAATACAAAGTAATGTCTTGGCCGCGGCAGACGGATTAACAGAAGCAGACGAGAAGAGAATGAGGGAGAGCAGATTAAAGGAGCATGAGTACCACTCCATTGCAAAAAGGTCTAAATCCCATGGGCAGCATCTTATGAAGCGCTTGCACACACACACACACACACACACACACACACACACACACACACACACACACACACACACACACACACACACACACACACACACACACGAGTGACTGAGAGTTTTGAATGTGCATCGACCATAAGTGTTACACAACACGCCGCTACTGTGTGAAGTACCTGCAATGAATGGCTGACCCCTATACTGCGCGGTGTTACCTTAAAGTGAGTTAATGTCACGAAAGGAGGTATGGCAAGAGAAGGAGAGCACAAGAGGCGAACATAAAAATGCTCTGTATGTTACGATGAAGTATGAGGAATGTTCTAAGATCCTTGGGGGTGACTATGTACTAGTGAGTGTTGCTCAGACGCTGCCCCCTTCCTGTTTTAGTTCCATAACCGTTGACTTGACAGCACTCTCATTCAGAGCCAATAGAGCATGTTTTTGTGAGCGAAGCGCTTTGACTTGTATCGTTGGTGACTGGTGTTGTGCATTTCGGTCCAACGGTTTGCGTTTTTGCCATGCATCAAATCCATTTCCTATAAGGCCTGTCCTGATCAGTGTCACTGAAAACAGGAGCCTATCCCAAGTGACTTTGGGCGCGAGGCAGCCTAAACCGAGGACTGGTTGTCAATCTATCAAAGGGCAGCCATGAAATTCATGAAAGTCTTTTAAATGGAGCCTTCTAAGTGTGTTCTTGGGGGATTCATACCGAACTGGATAACTCATTCAGTACCAGCCAATTCTGGACCAAGTCTGAAAAGACGTTAAAAAACGTCTTTGGGAGTGAATGAGTTAACCTATGATGATGTAGTCGCCCGCACATTGGCCCCACAGTTTCTCCCTGTGCTCTCTAGTCATATCTTCACCCATCGGTGTGAATAATACCGCTTTCCCACTGAAATTAGTGGATAGTAGTGATCCGTGGCAACACGCAACCAATTGGCATATTGTCCCTTTCCCATTGACCAACGGAAAGCGATTCTGCACACCCCTCACCCCTTCCTCCACTTTGCGTGTGGTTACGTCACCACGCTGTGATTGCGTAGATGATAGCGCGACAGATTTCTTGGTGGTAAACAAAGCAACATGGAAGCGAGTGTTCTTTCTTTTATCATGATTTTTACCGTCCTCAAAATGGTCGAAAAGCAGCGGAGGATCAACTCTCTGCTACTACTGAGACAACAGCTTAAAGGGCAATGTCCTAGTTTGTTGTGGGGGCATGCTATATACGAGGCCGATGGTGCACAATGTTATGACGCATCACGTACGCTCTATGTCATCACGTAATTACCGGGAAGTCCCGTGTTAGGCTTTCAAACTGCAAGCGGAGGCGATCGCAGGCGATCACAACCCGCCTCCGATGACGTGCTGGTGGACACGGATCGACACTGGCCAGTGAGCCTTTCCCACTGCCCAAAAAAGCGTGTTTACCCGTGGTTTTGCGGCAGTGGGAAAGGCGTATAACAGAGCAAATGGCGGATGTGTGTCCTGCCTCTCGTCCATTGGGTTAGGCTTGTTGCTCACCATTTGTCCACTGATCTTTCTAAATTAAAGGTCATTTGGTCTGAAACCGCACATCTTCCTCGCAGCCCCCCTACAAGCTCGGATGTGCGGAAAGAGTCCATGTGCAGATAAAGCAGATATATCAAACTGTCAAGAGAGGCATGCTGTGGAATGCCCTGGCACTGAGAGCAGGGTCTGTTTTCATGATCTAAGCAGGCCTCGGCAGCCTCCATTCGTCCAATCCCGTCTTACCTGTACCTACCGAACCCTGCACAGGCATCCCAGCAACCAGACAGGCCCCATTTACAATAATAACGATAGGAATACAGAGTCCAGCTGAAGCAGAAACAGGCTCAGCTTTAAGCCAAGGTAAGCTACAGTCAGTTTGATGGACTTCCAGCTCGGCTCTCCGGTTACGTGGCTTGCCAATCAGATAGGAGCCAAATTACACGGTACTCACTGCTAAATAGAACACTGGAATTACGATGGACTGTGCCCAATTGAGCCTCGCAGCAGTGAAGCACTTGTGTGCAAACGGTGATGTCACCGGGCGTCGCGCCACCTCCTCACTTAACCCTTTCCCTTGTCTCCAACGGTTAGTTTTAAGATAGATGCAGTTCAGGAAATTTAACATGCTTGAGATAAAGCCCTCGGAAATGCAGACGAGCCAGTTACAGGAGCAGCACAGAACAGAGTTAGTTTTGGCTTTTCTTGTTTATTTAATTGTAATTTGATTTTTTTTTCGAGTTTCGGATATGTTTTTAAACAAACCTGCTTCGGATGTGACATATGGATCTCCTAACAACTTCATACACAGCGCTTTATGTCAAGATCGGCGCTCGAGGAGCTGTGTTATGAGAGTTTCCTGTTGGCTGGGAAATGATCAAACTTGACAGCTAAGTTTGTCCCACACCTTATGGTGTCTCCTCATTCACCCAGTTCAGATATTCCTAAATACAATTTTGAGTCTTCGCTTTCAATTCAAATTTTAACCCCCTAACCTCAGATCTTTGTGGGGCAAACATTCGAAACACTAGTTTACTGAACTGCCCATCCCAAAACACTCATATAATATGACATGATGAATAATTGCCAACAGTTAGCAGTCTAATCCGCTTTCAGAAATTTAGTATGGCCCCCTGGGGACTTTATTCAAACTGCAATAACTCCCAATAGGAAAGAGGTCCCCCTCCCCACTGCTTTACATGAAAGCGCATTTACACAACCTGTCCATTTCATTCATTGAGCGTCCATGTCTATCCCTCCCTGCTGTATTTTCCTTCCTCTCATCTTGGGGTAAGCGAGAAAGTGGAGCTGCACAGTGGGAGTGTGTTGTCCCAATGCCAGGGCAAAAAATAGAGTCAATTGCTTAGCTTTCCGAGAACACCCCACTATGCTGCGTGACCTCAAAATGAAACACACACTCTTACATATAGTCCTGAACATAAACGACACAGTGTGCGCTGCCCTCCTCCTCCTCTCACAGTCTCCCAGCTGCTGTGATAGGAACCTCCAGCAAAGTCCCGGCCAGAGATCCCACTCTTTAACTCGTCTGCCAATGAAGGAATCTCTCAATCGCATCCGCAGATGTTAATGCGATGACCGCCTTCATATCCACTTGCATAGGAACACACAAACAAACACACTCTACAATTTACACTTACTGACCACACCATTAGGAAGCTTTTTTGGGGGGGTGTAAAGTCACAGCGTCACATTTACACAAGGACTTAAATAATTGCATCAAATAATATTTAGCCGTCAATTTTCTAGACACGTTCTCCTGTTGAGGGTCATGGGTGAGCTGGATGCTCTTTCGTTGACAGTGAGCGAGCGGCAGGGTACACTTGGACACTTTGCCGTTCAGTTGCATGACATCCACACGCAAACAACCCCAAATTAACACCCACCGGTATGCACAATTTATGTATGTTAAATGCACGTGTGGGGAATTTTGAGGGATTTAAACTCAGACCCTCTTGACTGTGAGTCACATTGGATCATTAACAATGCTGTTAAATTTCGGTACATCTACTTTTTTTTTTTTTAAAACATGTTACAAACATGATCTCACAAGATTAAAACAGGATTTCAGATAAAAATTCCATCCCTCCTTCTATTTTTTTTTAGACCGCATTTCCTGCTGAGAGGAGCTGGCGTTTATACTCGCTAACGTCGACGCCACGCAAGCATGGAGAGAGCGTGCCAAGGCCGAGGCAGATGTGCTAACTTCTATTCCACCATGCTGCCGCAATGTCTTCACATGACAAAGAATCATCTTTGCAAGAATTTGTTTACAGCATTGGTAGCACTCCACGCTATAATTCATGGGTGAGATTGTTTAAGTGCCTTGGTAGATGCTGCTGTTTTGGTCAGCAGCAAAGTTGTTCAGTTGATCAGCAGTGAACTTCTGTCCACGTGTCGACAACAGCGTTAACGAACGGAGGTGAGGTGGGTACGAGGAGGACAATCAGGGCAAAGCGCTTGTGTGTTTCGAATGGATGAAGCAGTTATTGAGACGCGGCATCTATCTGAGTGGAGGCCATCACCCCCCCGGCTACACTTCTCTAACAGCAAGAGACAGAAGAAAAGAAATTCCACCGTTCTCAGAAACAGGAGCAGAGCTTTCTAACATGCTCACACCACAAACGCCAGGGAAACTATGATTCCAACCCAAACAAAACAACCACAGACAATTGTTGTCTCTATTAGGAGCTGTAAAAAAAAAAAAAAAAAAAAAACAACAACAACAACAAAAAGCAAACAGTGATGAATGGCGCAGTGATGAGTTTTTTGTCACTCTCACCTTGAGCGAGTCAAAACAGGCGATGACTCGGCCGTTTTCCACTTGGCAGCTCTTGGCGGGGTGGGCAAACTTGCACTCGTTGTCCGGCCTCGAGCACATCCCCCTCTGAAACTCCCGACACACCTCCAAAGTCAGCCACTTTGTGTCCCGGATGGGCATCACGTTCACCGCCATTTTGGAGCAGGAGTGACAGCAGTTGCAGAAGCAGCCGAGGGGGGCTGATGATGAACGACGTATATCCGACGAATGCAATTATAAGCACACTTGTGTGTTGCGAATGAGGAGGAATGAGTCAATGACATGGACGCATGGGAAAAGGGTGGGATCGAAAGGTCTTTGTTAAGATCTGAGCCAAGGGGGGCCTCTTGAGTTGCTACCACCTGTAGCCCATCCTCAGGGCCCGCTTGCCACAAATAAGACGCCTTTAGCGGTCAGATATCGGCTCGCTGCTCGGCTCGACTGTCAGACGAGAGGGTGGCAAAACATTATTGATCGCGTCGGCCCATGATGGGAAGAAGCAGAGGGAGGAGGAAAAGGGTGTGGTGGAGAGGACAACGAGAGCGACGATCTTCTTCCCGCTCACGACAGCTGATTGGATCTGTTCGTTCTCAGCATCAGGCTTTATCTGCGCAGGAGGGAAGCAAGCGGGGAGGGGAGGGGCCTGACTTTAGCGAATCAGTGGCACAGTGGATGGCGTCGGCTGCCCTGCGAGGCAGCGCTGACGACTGTGGCAGGGTTCAGCGGAGTCCAAGAGCCACAGGCGGGAGGGGAAGAAGGCACTCTCTGTGGAGAAGGAGGCAATCGTGTCAGTGGGGTAACACACACAAAGAGAGGCTGGATATTCACAACCATTTAGTCAGTCGCTCCAAACCAATGTTTTGTCTTACACATTCTCTTTGGTTTACAAATGGATTTGCGTTCCTTTAACAGAGATTATCCTGAACGTACGCTTCAGTGTGAACATGTCTTTGCCTATCATTATCCTACACTAACACAGAAGTGAACTCATAAAAAAGTAGAGATGCAGTAATATAACTAATGGACAGATAACTCTTCCATGTCACAAAATTGCAAAATTTCTCTACACTCCGTCAGCTTTTATGCCCTTATCTTAGCACGTCTAACGCAAACTGATCACATATCTGATATTAACTGATTAGCGTTACTCAGAAAAAAAAAACAAAAAAACAAATGTATAAAAAATGAACATAAGTTGGCCTACTTGTCTTTTCTTTTCAAGATTAGCTCGTATGCTATACTAGCGATGTATGATCCCCTCTGAATCCATTCATCCATCCATTTCTCGAGCTGGAGCCTTTGACTTTTGGGTGAGAGGCCGGGCACACCCTGGACAAACACCCACCAGCCAATCACTTATCGACAAGCAAGCATACACACGCACGTTTACTCCTTGGGGCAGTTTAGAGACTGCCAATGAACTAAACATGCATGTTTTACAAATGTGGGAGGAAGCACTTACAAAAAAAAAGTATCAAACCAAGAACCTCAGAACTGTGGGCCAGATATGCTAATCACTAGGTTACCCTTCTGAATCACACCAATAATTATTGCTTAACTCAGTCAGTTTAGCTGTCAATCTTTCCAATCCCGCAATGAAATCGACGTAACATCAGAGTTGGCAGTCGGCCACTGAGAAAAGAGACGAGTGCGACGTGAGTATTCAATTCACAGGGAGCTAGAAAACAGTAAAGTGATGACGCGATCTTCTATGTCCTCATTAGATCGGCTCGGACAAACACGTTTCGACCTCTCCGCTTGCACAAGAAAAAAAAGAAAATACTCTGCACAGTAAGAACCCTCATGCCCCACAGCCCACATGTTGTTACATCATTTCTTCATCCCCCGCGCAATACAACAGATGTGTTTGTGAATACACTCTTGTTAGTTGTACTTTATTTAAAGCTAGTTTCCAGCCCCAAAACACACGCACACACACACACACACACACACACACACACACACACACACACACACACACACACAATATACTTATCGTTCTATCGTTCCCTTGTTTGGTCTTGTTTTTAATGTGACAGACCTGTGCAGAAGTCTTCAATTCATTTCAGGCTTTTGTTGACTTAATTAGATAAAAGCCAGACATCACTTAAGAACAATGACATGAGGATGAATTTTATCAAAATGTGTTTCGCACTGCTGGAAAACGTTTACTATTGGGACAATGACAACAACAGCACAGCATGGTAATGGTTTACTCTGTGGAAACTTTGGGATTATTGAAATCCTCTCATTAAAATTGTTTTAAAGTGCAGAAAATTAGCCTAAAGGTCATGCAATTTAGAATCAGGGAACAATTTGTAAAAACATGCCTTAAAAGTCACACAAGAAATTGGAGCTCAAACCATGAAGGGTTCTTTTTGGATTTTTGTGTGACTTAACTCGAAAAGTAGGACGTGTGTGATGAGAATATCAACACCACAATCGCTAACATTAGCCACGAGCAATGGCTGCTAACAGGCTAGCCACGGACTGGCTAGCCCTGTTCACTTCTGTGATGGAAGCTTCAGTGACTCTGCAGCATGCAAAAACAAGACTGTCACTTTTTAGAACACGCGACACTAGGATAGCCAAGAAATAAATAAACCAAAAATAAATAAATATATATATATATATATATATATATATATGTGCAATAAAAATGTGGCTGCATCCGGAATGGGCCAGTGTTATTTCTGGTGGAAGACTTTTTCAGGCCAAAGATGATATTTTGAGCTGTGTGTGTGTGTGTGTGTGTGTGTGTGTGTGTGTGTGTGTATTTTGAGGTTAGAATAACCCACTACATTTGGCAGGAACTGTACTCAGGGAGCACTGCAAAGACGGGTGCCCTTACCAGACTATTATCTAAAGAGAAGCGCAATGAGCCTCGTCTTTTGGCAAAAACATAAGATAGATTTACTCTGTAAGCTCAAGTGACCGGTTCCAATTTAATGTCTCTATCTGATTTTTATTTTTATTTTTCCATGTCCCTTTCAAAGTGACTTATCTCTGTTAAGGATGAGCATGTAAAATAACCTGCATGTGTTCAAATCGCAAGTAAACAACTCCACACGTGTCAACACCAAGTAGATGGAATTCAACATAATTAATAGCAACATAAAATATCACACAGCATTTAGTTGGCCTGGACTGACTCCCCCCCACTCCCAACGGATTTCAAGAAGCGTAACTTCCACATTACTCCACCGGTTGCCGTCCGCATTTATTTTGCTTCTTATTTTTATTTAGCATATTTAGCTAGCTTTTATTGTATACGATTTTGCTATAGTCTGGATTCACAGCAAGTGTTTTACAATGGTGTTTTGTGTTGATTAAACTGATTAACGTGCATAAACAGCAGTCACAGTGGAAACAAACAAAACAAACTACAGTTAGTAATCCACTGGCTATTTGTGGTTCATTATTCACAAATTCAAATAGCCTAGCATCACAATTTCCAAAGTCATTCTTAACTTACTCTCACAAAATCATAAAATTAATTAATTAATTAAGTACAATCTGCTGAAAATTAGCTTTTTTTTCACTGTGGAACTTAGCCCCAGAAATAACTCACTCGTTCATACTTTTTGAATTCTTTGCAAAACACTCTAAAATGCCATAAAATAGAAGCCAGATCATGGCTAAATAGTGTTTGGTCTCGAGAAAGTAAAAGTAAGTCATTCATCTTGACAGACAGACAAGCGTTTTGGGGAGGAGCAACATTTAGCCCATGTTGCCTGGAAGCTATGGAAAGTCTTGGTTGCATGGGCATGTCCATATGCATGTCTGGTGCATTTTTTTTCGACATCAAATCATCTGTAAACCATTCATTTTTTAAAAGTAATCCAAGAGTTTGGTATTTGCGATATATTTATGAGTGTAACTAATGTATGAAATTTGAAATATTTTCTCAGGCGGGCATGAATAACTAAGTCCTCATTTCCAAGGAAATTGCCAGGCGTCAAGAAAAAAACAGTTTGCGACCATTAAAACTGATGGCGAACGTCCGGCAAACGTCTTTGCAACCTTGAAAATCAACATCCACTATCCTCGCAAACCTTCGCCACTCAGTGGGATAACGGGTGCCTTAAGACGACCTCCAGTACAACAACCAGTGACAGCACTAAACGTGAATCAGTCGTCTACGAGACAACTAGTGATCATCTCCAATCATCATTACACTGAAACAATCGCTCGAGACATTGATCAAAGGTATTTGGACAATGCCTTCTCCTCTTCTTCTCTTACCTGCCACCATTAAATGATTAAAGTGGACTGTTCGATTGCTACAAAAGGTGCACACAGAGCAGAGCAAAGGGATGGCTGCTTCACTAAAAGGGGCAGAATGTCAGCGAAGGACGGAGGCCCATCTCTTATCCAAATTGCTCTCCCAGGGTCCAGGCAGGCATGAAAGGAGCCCCTGTTGTACAGGCCTTGTGATGTCACGCCGTCAAGTATGCTACACACACTGGCCCCGACACACAATCTACCAATAGTCTAAAAATAATAACAATCATGCTCAGTTTTGCTGTTTGCTTTTTAGATTTATTTATTTATTTTTTTTAAAGTGTATTGGATCTTAAGAAGTCACAGAATGGTATTTTTTTCATCAATTTAAACAAGCTCCCAGGTGTTTTATTAATGTGCTTTGTTTAAAGTACCCCTAGGATAAAGAATTACAAAGATTTATAAATGTATTAGCTCAATGGAATGTTCTTATTAAGTACGAGAGGTCTTTTGGGAGCTTTGGGGTCACTTTAAATGATTATGCAATTTTCAAACAAATGAAAACAGTTTGGAGATATATTTTTTTTTACAAATATGCTTCTGTCTAGGATCAAGAATGATCGCTTGCTTTGCTCCATCTACTGAAGATTTTGAAATTTACTGTTGATATTGATGCCATCAGTCAGACTTGATGGCCATCGGTCAAGAAGGATGGCCCATCGAAAACCGATCCACAATGAGTGAGGGTGTAAGATACAGATGTGCTCACCACGACCATGCTGCCTATTATTTCCAATGAGATAAGTTATATTCAAAAATAAAAAAATAAAAATAAAATCTTGAAAAGTGTTCCAGATTAGATGCTCATTGTAAAGTATGCAGAATACTCAGCGCTGTCTGGTTATCTTAGAGACATGGGCAAAATATTACAAACAGTTATCAGTGCAGTGCATTCCTTGATCGATACTACTGAGAAGTTACACACATGAAAGGGGGCAGAAAAGCATTGTGCCTTAACACTGGGTGGAACAAAGTCTTCCAAGCCTTTATTTCTACTGCTTAGAAGAAGAAAGTCCGGTCTGGTTATCTTAGAGACATGGGCAAAATATTACAGTTATCAGTGCAGTGCATTCCTTGATCGATACGACTGAGCAGTTACACACATGAAAGGGGGCAGAAAAGCATTGTGCCTTAACACCGGGTGGAACAAAGTCTTCCAAGCCTTTATTTCCATTGCTCAGAAGAAGAAAGTCCATCTTAGCTATTGAGCTTTGGCATTATATTGGCGTTTCTGCATGGGAATCAAACAGGCCGCTATCCCCTCGCATTAACTTTCATGAACAGAGGGCCAGGGTGGCGGCCATTTCCCATAGCCAGAGGCAACAGATACTGTATGATTATACCATTAGATCAACTCCAGCCTATGTTGACGAAGAGAGAGAGGTCTCGAAGTATTGCACCTACTCACTCAACACCCTTTGACTCCTCATTCACAGCTTGTCAACAGAAATATAGTGTCTGTACGTCGGGGGGGCACCAAA